GTATTTTCCATATTTATGAACTGGGCAGCTGTGTAGTACTTAATACCTCCCATTTTAATTATAATCTTTATAAGAAAATACACCATGACAGCTAGTGAGATTAGAAAATTGGAGCTCCAATGTGAGAACAGAAGAATGTAGTCAATGTCCAACTTTCTTCATTAAACTACAAATGAAATCTAGAAAAAGAATGCAAACAGAAATAAAAAAATGGAAGTCTTCCACAGAGCTGTAGAAGTCCTTCTTCAAACATGCGTATCCTCCATAATTAATAAACTTACGAATGATCCACTCCTGGTTCTGTCTCTTCAGCCCCTGTTCAGATGTAGCTATGTGTACATGTTCTGTTTAGACAATGGAGAGGTTAGTCCTGAGTCAGTTTCCTTAACTTGAACCTGTGGCAATAGCTCAGCTTTTCCTTTAAGAATACAGCTAGTGTGAGAGTTTGTTCCACAGGGAAACAGAGGTTCTTGCGTCCAGTAACTCAAGGCTGATCTAGAGTGCTGTAAAATTGGGACCAAGACCCTTGGAAATGCCCTATTATTTGTTGGGTGACTTGTGGAATGAGGGTAATGCAGAAAAGATGTGTTCTTAATGACCTCTGTTTCTAAGGCGGTTACTATTACTTTTTGAATGGACTGAAGGCGCTAGTAATTCTATACCAAAATGCAGCTGTATTGCAGTTATAGCCTAGGAGTCTCAGAACATTTAGGGTCATTGCAGCTTGAACTACAGTTTTTGAACTTCTACCTTGACATTTTTGGGCAGGATAACAACCCAACTGTAGTTTTTTTTTTTGTGTGTGTGTCCTTTTTTTTTTTAAACACTGTTCATTCTAATCTAATATAAACTTACTATTTGAGATATTCTAAATAAATCATTATTTCCTTTTTGAGATCTTAAACGTGCACATATATAATGCTGCAGATCCTTGAGAAGGAAATGCTGCAGCTTTGGTTTTTCTTTTGCTGTGCATGTGCCCTCTTTCATCCCTGATGTCATGCAATTGAGCCTAAAAAGGCAGTTTGCACCAAGTCTTTGGTTAAAACTCTCTTCATATGTTCAGGCCAACAGGAATACTTTGCACCTTTTTGTTCCTGTTAAGGAGGATCGCTTCAGTTCTTGAAAGAGAAGAATCTTTGAGCTCATTCCTGCCTGGAAATCTCTGAATCAGATGGTGGTTGGAATGCTACTTTAAATTAGCGCTTGCATTCTTGAGTTTTGTCATTTTTCTTTTTCTGTAAGTGTAACGAATTTCTATCTGTCCACACCTCGTCCGAGATGTTCAGGGATAACGCTGCCTTTGCTTAGAGCCACTGTTTTCCC